CACATCTGTGCCATACATTTGAAGCACTATTATACCTCTGGGAACTGTAGCTCTGTGAAGCCAGCACCCTAATCAAGCAACATTTTCCAGGATTCTCAACTACTGTTAAAATGGTATCATAGCACTTCAAACATGTGATGTGGATGCAGTCGTAGTGAATCGGGACGATGTCATGATGCTATACAGCCAACCAGATCAGGCTGCAGAATAACATCACTGAGAGCGATCAAGGGTGAGGGCAACTTAAAACAAGGCAAACAAAAAAACAGTTCAGCATGGAATTCTGAAAAAGACAATGGAAACCAAAGGCAGTTTTTCGGGAGGTACCCAAAGCATTTGGGGTGACAGCAGGGCGGTGAGAAGAGAAAAGAGCAAATAGTTTTGAGTCAGCCACAGGAAGAAACTAAAAGACCCCAGGGCTAGAGCATTCCCTACGGACACACGCAAGCCGATCAGCTCCTTCTTTTGACAGGCGCTGTCTTCATAAGCTTCCCACCCCCTCCTCCTCTTCCGCCAGCCGCCCATCTTCGCTTTTGCATGCCCTGGCAGAGTGAATTAGCCAAACTGGATAGAAAGGATTGGATTTGTTTACAGACACGCAGCAAGCTTCTCAGGGAGGCTCTAAGTCTGTGTTTGATGTGCAAACCTCCAGCTTTGCCGCCATGCCTTTGTCAGGCGGACCCCGGCTCCTGCGCTCATCCCTTTGTGTGTCGCTCTCAATTAAGATTAAAAAGGGCCTTATGCCATCATCCTCCCTTCTCGCACACAGAGAAAATCCCTTTGTGGCAAGAGAGCAGCACCTTGTAGGCAGCTTCGCATTTATCTGATCTGTGGGGGGGGGGGAGGAGCGCAGTGGCACAAAGAGTGGCGGGAAGCCGGGGAACGGCGGCGGGGGGAGTCGGTACAACTCAACCATTAGAACAATTGCAAATCCTACCACTGCAGGTGGGGGGGGGGGGAGAGCACAGATCCTGCAATGAATTAATTAAGAGCAAATTACATTTTTTAAAAAAAGATCAGTGGTCTTTTTTTGCATTCGTCTGCTGCAGAACTGTGGGAAGGGGACAACGTCAGTAGTCGTGGACTGCAGACATAAAAATAACAGGAGTGTAGATACACAAGATAGACTAAGGCTGGGCTTTTTGCAGTCCGAGGGCCACATTCTCTTCTGGATAACCTTCCAGGGGGCCACATGACAGTGGTGGGCAGAGCCAGAGGCAAATGTTGGGTGGAGCAATGAATGTCAACATTACCTTTACATAGCAGGCTAATTTCCTGAGAGGGGAGGGAGGGAGGAGGCCAGAGGGGGTGGCACCCAGAGCACTCACTCAAAAATCCAAATGTGCCTAATAAAAGTGCCTTATGTGGTATAAAAATTCACCTGCTACAAAAGGCATAGGCCAACTCGGCCCTCCAGATTTTTGGGACTACAACTCCCATCATCCCTAGCTAACAGGAACAGTGGTCAGGGATGATGGGAGTTGTAGTCCCAAAAAACATCTGGAGGGCCGAGTTTGCCTATGCCTGTTCTACAACATGGACAGAAGTATTTTGTTGAATGCAGGTAGGCCTATACCAGGTGACTTCATCCTATTATTATTTTTTGTGGGCAGCAAACCCTACCTGAGCAGCATTTGCAAGAGGTGAAGCAACAGCAGAGGATTGGCTACAATTATCGTTTTTACCATATATCCCATCCAGGGATCTTCAGGCAAGTGACCCCCCTCTCCTGAAGCCACAGCTCCTCTTTGCAAGACCTATGAACTGCTGCACGACTCATGAGTAGCAGCCGCCGCCAGTGAGTCCTCTGTGGCAACCATTCAGTGCTTTACAGTTAAAGAGCACTCGAGTACACTTGAGTACATAATATGACAATGCACTCAGTTCTCAAAAGCGAGTGCTATTTGCTTTACGTAACACTTATTCTCTAAGCCATGCTCTGCTTGAGAGGGAGGAGGAGAGGTGGTACAGTGGCGGCTTAAAATACTGAGGGGTTGTGTCCAATGAGGGCTTACTCAAGAGTAGACCCACTGAAATGAATGGACCCAGGTTAGGACTAGAATTGGACACAACCCTGGAAAATTGGGCTGGGAATCTGGGGAAGGGGGGGGGAATTTGATTCAGATAGCACTTTAAAGGTGAATCTACTCAATTTGAACTTTCCAAAACAATACACAAACCAAAACACAACCACTCCTTGAAATTCACACCACTCCCAATTTTGCACTGCCAGTTCTCCAGCCAAGTAATAAGTTAAAAAAGAGAGAGCATGCGCTAAGGTGAAGTGCCTAGATATGTGTCAAGAAAATTGTAAAGTTCATAGCCCCCCGAGATCTCACTGTAATATGTGGAAATATTTTTTGGAGTGATCTGTAATAATTTGATTTGATATTTTTAAGCGAAGTGGTTGATGTGTTGTGAGTTATGTTGTTTTATGTGTGATGGGGAAAATGGAAATTAATAATAATAGTAATTTAAAAAGGTAATGCCTAGATAAAGTCACTCCCCACCACTACCAATCATACTTTGGACAGAAGATATGACTCTGCTGGTAAGGTAAATACAAGAAAATGATCTGATATAAGGACTCCTTCCTTACATAGTTGTATTTGCATGAATGTCTGCACAGCAGTTGGGGTCTGAACCACCAGCCATTTTCCCTCTTCCCCCACATAAAATGTTGCCTTGATTAAGTATGATTTAGTTTGTATTGTTTGACTATATTTGTTTCTTTTTGGAAAATACAATAAAAATCCATTAATTAAAAAAACGTGAAACCAACACACAAAAATACACTATATTGGCGAACATAGCTTTGAAAAAAATGTGTCCATATTAGGAAAAATTGCATACAAAAATTGGGCAAAAGTCGCTCTCTCAAAGGCTGATGAATTTTCATGTGCCCCCCCCTTTTAAAATGGAAACAGACACAGAAATGTAGAGAACTAAAGATTGTAAAAATGAGAGACTGAGACAAATAGATTCCAACATCCTTAGCTGAGAGACAGGCTGGGATGTTTTACTCAGTTATGCTCAGTGGTTTAATTTAGCCTTGTCCTGAGCCGATTTCATCAGCGAGGCAATGTTTGAAGGAGTTTAACAGTGCAGCCCCCCAGCCCCCTTCTTAACACAGCACAATCTCACCTCTGCATTCTTGCAGAGAGAGCAAAGCCAAGCCCCAGCGATAATTATAATAAATCTTTTGGTGCTGGGCAGGGAGCGCACGCCTAGCCCTGCTCCATGATTAAGAGATCCCTGTAATACCTTACGGTCCCCAGTGGGCTGGGCAGAGCGGGGTCTAGCTAAGCATTGCATCAAACAAGTTAAGAATATCTCAATCATTAAGCGGCAACCCACGGCAGCTCCGAGCGCAATCGATGGGGCAATTAGATTTTATCAGCACCTGCTTCCCTCCCCCCTCCCCCCAGGCCTCTCCTCTCACATGTGCTGGCTAGGCAGAAGTCCAAGTTATACCTACCTCCCCTCTGCGAAAAGACAAGGTACAGCACCAGATTTATGCTTCCATTTAAGAACATAAGAGGAGCCTTGCTGGATCAGACTGGGGGCTCGTCTAGTCCAGCCTCCTGTTCCCACAGAGGCCAAAGGAAAGCCCACAAGCAAGACCTTAGCGTAATACCAACTCTCCCACAGTTTGCAGCAACTGATATTCAGAAGCACACTGCCTCTAACAGCGGAGGTAAAACACAGCCAACAGGGTTAGCAGGCATTGATACCTGTCTCCTCCATGAATTTGTCTAATCCTCTTTTAAAGCCATCCTAGTTGGCCATTGTTGCTTCTTGCGGGAAACAGCTCCGTGCTGCTTAAACAAGTACTTCCTTTGCTCTGTCTTGAATCTTCCAGCAGCTTGGGGAACCTATATAGTCGTACTTAGGGTTACAAACCTTACTTCTGAGTACACACAGATTCCATTCTAAGGGCCTAAACACTCTTTCTCAGCTCAACCAACCTCACAGTGCTTGCTATGAGGATACAACAAGGGGCAGACTATGTACACCACCCTCACAGCTCCTTGAGGATACAAGGAATACAAACGTCCTAAATAAAGTTATTTAGGAGATCGCTGCAGCCTTGGACTGACCCCAGCACACATCCCTGTTTCCCTGCCTCTCTGGATCCTTACCAGTTACCTCAATGGTTCCCTTCCCCTATCTTCAAGGCCTAGTTATGTTCTGAGCAACCAGTTCCTAAGAACATAGCAAGCTGCCTTATCCTGAGTCAGACCTTTGGGTCCATCCAGCTCAGTATTGTCTACACCGAACAGCAGCAGCTTTGTGGGGTCTGAGACAGGGGGACGTTCCCAGCCCTACCTGCAGATGCTGGGGATTGAACCAGGGACCTTCTGACTGGCAAGGCAGACGCACTGCTGTGAGCTACAGCCTCTTCCTTCACCAGCTGCTCACAAAAATAAATAAAGGCTCACAACAGAGCCGCCATCCATCCAATAGCCTCACTTGTTGATTGATGCACCATCGCCCTTTCAAAAGCCAGCCCATCTCTTTCCCACCAACGCTGTCAATGCGAGGAAGGATCAGCAGAAGATACAACCGACCTGTCTTTCATTCTCTCCCTCTCCCTCTCTTTCAGCAGAAGACAAGCCGGAGCCTGCTAAACCCCACAAAAGGTCAGACCGCAGCATAAAGTCGAGGCAGCCACTCAAGCAAGGGGGCCGGCGGAGATGGAGGCACTGCGCGACAAGCTTCTGATTAATGCAATTACAAACCCAACCAAGGTCTCTTTCTGCTTCACTGCGTGCTTACCCACCCCCTTCCCCGCCCGCAGGCCTCTTCGCTTCTCTGGCGGAGCATGCTCTGAACACGCAGGCCTCCACATCACAGGATAAACACCAAGGAGAGGCTCAGAATGGCCCAGGTGAGGGTCAAAAGAAAAAGTCACCTTCCCAGGTCTGGGGCAGCAGCCAAACATTTGGGGGTGGGGACAAGGCAAGGAGGGAGGAGAAGAGGTGAGCCAGAAAGCTTACCTGCTGCCCCCAAGCCAACATCCAAGCTGCTTCTCTTGAATTCGCACCGGCTCTGGGTCTCTGGCATAACGAGCTGGCGACTCTGGTGGAGGTTGGAGATGAAGGAAGTGAGTTCGTTGTCCCGGCTGTGGAAGGGAGAAGAAGGGTTTCACTTACACAGGCAATTGCTAGCAAGCTTCTCCTGAGGCTCTTTTACCCTAACTGCCCTCCCCCACAAGCCAACCCTATGATACCCAAAGACCTCCTCCGAACGTGCATTTGGGGTCATTTGTGCTCATGGTGCTATCAAGGTAATCACATGCAATCTTGCTTTTGCTACTGTTTATGCCTACAATTTTTTGGGGGGTGGTCATACTACTCTACTTCCAGGCAGTGCAGATTTTGTAACATCCTGTTGAAATACTGCAAGTGATCTGGTTCGTTTTGGTCGCTCTTTTGTTGTACCACAGCCCCTCCAGACAGCAATAATATGGTAGCGTTGGTGGAAGCATCTCAGAACAACTAATAAAGGAAAATAAATTTGCCACTATCCGTGCATCAAGAACATGTTGCAGAATACATCAGAAAATAAAATGCAAGGCGCTAAGAACTGCATTCTGCGAGTTTCCTTTCCCCCTTAAATAGTGATCTTCATGTGTTGTCCTTTCTGTGACCTGTAAATGCAGTTCAAAACAAGAGCACCTGATCCCCTATCAGGTTGGTGGGCATAGAGGACAGGGCTCTTTTGTTGGTGGCCCCACACTTGTGGAATTTGCTGATCCATTTGAGATCAGGATGCAGAGACTCCATCACAACTAACAACCTTCAATAGATCTAATGCCCATGGATTTCTCTTCTGCGCTCCATGTTCCGACAGAGATATGAAAACATTCCACAACATTAAATAATTCAGGCAAAGCCCTCCACAAATTTCCCTTCTCCCTGACATGCTACAAGGACTACAGAGAAGTGAAAACACCCCACAACATTAAAGAATTAAGGCAAAGGCAATTCCCAAGAAGGTTCATACTCACACAGCCAGCGGCCTTACTCTGTGCATCGGCAAGACGCCGCACATGACCGCCCACACATTGGCTCCACGGAGACCACCCTAACCAGTGAGTGCTGGGGTGACGGGACCAAGAGTTATCTGCCAAATTACCTAGCAATTGCCCCTCTTTAAATAGCCCTCCTTGAGGCTGAATCCCTCCCCAGCTTGGACCAGCAATGCTGCAGAGCTGCTCCCATGAGCCCGTCCAGAGTGTGGGAGGAAAGGGGGGGAGGGGCGCTAATCTCCAGTCCAGCGCTCTGCTTAATCAGATAAAGTTTATGACAGAAAAGTCATTAGAGGCAGGTGCTGTCGATGGGCGTCTGGCTCCAGATTTTCAGACAGTGGCGGGGGTTTGTGCTATCTGGCCTCTTTTGCCCCAACCCCTTGCAGAACTGCTCTCTCTACCAAACCTGACCTTAACAGGAGTCTTCAAGCGATGTTAGCTGCAATCCTAAAGGGCTACCCTGTCCAAGGTAGAATCGTCTCGATGCAGTCACCCAAGTTACAATTTACGTGTGAAGAAGAAGCTTGTTTTCACCACTGGCCATTTAAATCATACCACCCAATCCATATCTCCTCTCCCCTGCCAGCCTGGCTCCTGCTGACACCACGGCAAGCAATTTCAAGGCTTATCCCTTGCCTAGATACCACCTTCGAGAAGCATTATGCAAAATATTTCCAAAGGAGTTTAGAGGATTAATTTGAGGCGATTATCGGTTCCTCTTAATCGTGCAAATCAATATCTCCGGACGTCAGGGACAAAGGACAGATAAAAGCTGCCGTCAGCACAACAGGAAAAGGAGGCTGGGCCAACCAGGGGTGGGGAAAGAGGCCTGACACGGTGGACATGCCAGTGGGTTTAATTGGCTTATAACCCCATCATCACAGCAGTCTAGGGTGCAAGTCTGTGCACCTGTTCCCCCCCCCCACTTCTTATGTGCAATGACCACGGAATGGCATGTTAGGTCAGTGCAATGTTCCATAGCCTGGTTTATACAGGCAGCAAAATGAAGTTCCTAAAGATTTACATAAATTTATATTCTGCTTGGTCATAAAAAAACCCCTCAAAGCAGTTTACAAAAAGAATGAAACAACGAAATCATCAATAAAAAACTGTTAATCACTTTGAGGTTTTCCCCTCCAATAAAGCGGTATATAAATTTTATGAAATAAATCAAAAGGGGGAGCCCTATTTCCCCTCACAGAGCTCCAATTCCCAGAAATCCCTTGGAAGAGGGATTGATTGTTAAACCATTCTGAAAATGGTTCAACCAAATGCGAATCTGGGATGTGGGTAATAAGCTCCAAATAACTCTCAGCATCTTTAACAAGCTACAGCTCCAATAATTCCTGGAAGCCGTCTTGAAAGTGGAATTATAATGCTTTAAAAATGCATGGTGTGAATGTGACCTCAGTCTCTGCTCAAAGAATACTAGATTGTCAGCTTGAAGACTCCCAACTAAGTTTTCTCGAGAGGCTAACTCAGGGATTGCTATCCCCTAACACACAGAGATATCTGATCATGTCACTCTCCTCACACCTGTGTGGAAACAGGCCAGGGATGGGCGACGATCAGCCTCTGAGACAAATGCAGTCCTGCAAGCCTCTCCATCTAGCCCTTGAGACTCTCCCCACGATATATCCTCTCCCCCAGGGCATGTACCTTCATAGGACCTACTTCACAACCTTCTTGAACATTTTTGCTTGGCTGAAATGCGCTAGTGAACTCTGAGCGGGCATAAAGCAGCTTAATATGTAAGCAAGAAAGTCTGAAAACCGCCTACCAGCATAATGCAAGAACCTCTGAGCTGGGGACAGCCGGGGAGGGGGGGGAAGAGGCACAGATGCCTCTCTCCTAAAAAGAAGAGAGACTTCCTTCCGATATGCACTGATTTTCTTTCTTTTTTCTAAAACACAACCAGCTCTCCCATGCCCGCCCGCCCTCCCCCAAATACGCACATACAAAATCAGATTAGTCGTCTGATCCCTTCCAGCAGCGTATTTTTTATATATATATATTTTAAAAACGGATTAGAAAAGGAGGCCTAAGAGAGAGATAGGGATCTCCTGAGAGGTTGAAGAGGAGACAGATAATCTCCTGAAGGACTGAAGGTTGCCGTAACCATTTTCAATTTGACCAAGTTTTTCCTCCCTCCACCCCGCCTTTTTGCTAATTAATGCTTTAAGAAGGTTTTCAGCGTTGACAGCGCGGAGGAGAAAAGGGAGGGCGAAATACAGAAGGAACATCCAATCTCCCCCTTTCCCACAAACAAGCAAATCAAAGTATGTCTCCTATCTTAACAGTTTTTACTGATAAGTAATGGCCGCTTCACGTATTACGTCAGGAATGGGTGAGAAAAGTGGAAGCGGCAACAAAATGCTGCAGTGGGGAGTGTTGCAACTGAGAGTTGCAGCCAGCTAGCCAGCAATGCCCTTTCCCAAGAGATGCCATTCCATTTCACCTCCCTGAAACAGACCCTTTGACTAAGGTTACACGTAATGCTGGGCCAAGTTATGGTCGTACCCAATACTAGTCGTACTCAAGAGTAGACGCATTGGAAGTTAAAGGTTAAAGCATGCAGGCTCCCAGAGAGAAGACTGTGGCCTCTCTGCTTCTCTCCTGGTCCTCTGTTGCTGTGAGTGAAGCCTTGGTTTGGCTTAGTATGTTGTGCACACCCAGGCTTATGGTTTGCCCGGAGTAAGACAAACCACAATCCTCTGATTGGGCAACACATTAAGCCAAACCATGGCTTGGCTGACAAAAGGTTTAAAAGAGGACTGGGCAAATTCATGGAGGATAAGGCTACCAATGGCTACCAGCCTTAATGGCCATGCTCTGTCTCCCCACAAGGCAGGGCCAGAGAAGCAAAATGTGTCAGGGGCCAAGACTCGGGAAAAGCAGAGGATCCCAGAACACCTGCTCCATATTCCTCAGTTCACAGTAAATCTCCACCCATCTCTGTATAAGAGCCAGGGCCCTGCAATTGTCAACTGATGGCCTTCTCTATGTTCCTCCTTCAAGGTCCGGAAGGTGGCAACACAAGAACAGGCCTTTTCAGTGGTGGCCCCCAGCTTGTGGAATGTTCTCCCCAGTGTGACTCGCCTGGTGCCTTCTTTCTCTAGCTCTAGGTGCCAGGCAAAAGGTTTCCTTTTTACCTGGGCTTTTGGCCCTTAGTTTGAAGGATCAAAGTATTTGCAGCTTCTTTTGGTGGGGCAGAATCTGCTAGACTTGTCTTTTAGTTGTATAGATGTGTGCACTTTTTAGGGCTTTTAAAAAATAATAATTGCATTTGTTCTCATTGGTTTTAGTATTTCTATTGTGCTTGTAAGGCACTTTCAGCTATCTTTATGAGCAAGGAAATAAAACAACAACAACTTCCATCAGCCCTAGCCAGCATGGCCAATGGCCAGGGATGCTGGGAGTGCAGCAACATCTTGAGGACCACCAGTTCCCTCTCTCTCTTTTAAAAGCTGCTGCTTAAACTAATAGCCTCCATCCCAGCCTGATTGGGGTTCTTGCTTCACGGACTATTTCAGGTTAACCTTGGGTGACATTCAAACATGCCAAGATGCTTTGCAAGCGACTGTGGCTACCAAAAAGACAGAAAAATGCTGCAATTCAGCCCATAACAAACAAATGCAATTGTTAATGTCTCCGCCCAACCATCCCCAGATTAATCTATTGTCTGCACATAATGGGACTAATAGTCCGCTTGCCTTCTCTCAAAAGGCCAACTATCCTAATCCATCCTCTGTAATGGCAATATAATGATTCACCAACGGCAACAGGATAGCTCTGAAGCTTACAGGAAATGGAGCTCGAGAGGAGATATACATGTGAGATGAACTCTGGGCAGAAAGATAACCTCAGCCAACCACACTGGAAGGATGAACATAGCCAGGTGTTTGTGCTGTTTTGCTGACTCTCCAGCAAGTTAGTGCTCCCCTACCCCGCTCACTCTATTTCTCATACCAATAAAATGAAGAAAACTTAAGAACCTCAAACACCCATATTATGCATGACTGGCTCTCGACTGATGGAAGCTGGATTCTAACAGAAAGTTTGCCTGCATTGAAATTTCTGGAAATCTTAAT